CTTGATTGTGGTGAACTCTTTTGTTGATATGTTTTTGTATTTGCCAGAATTTTATTGAGAATTTTTGCATCTATGTTCATTAAAGATATTGGTCTGAAGTTTTCTTTCTTTGATGTGTTTTTGCCTGCTTTTGGAATCAGAGTGATATTGTCCTCATAGAATGAGTTTGGAAGTGCTCCCTCTTTTTCTACTTCCTGAAATAAATTGAAGAGCATTGGTATTAGTTCTTCTTTACAGGTCTTGTAGAATTCAGCTGTGGGCTTTTCTTGGTTGGTAAGCTTCTGATGGCATCTTTTATTTCATTGGTTGATATTGGTCTGATTCAATTTGGGCAAATCATATGACTTAAGAAATTTGTTGATGCCTTTGATATTTTCTATTTTATTGGAGTACAAGTTTTCAAAATAATTTCTAGATATCTTCTATATTTCTGTAGTGTCTGTTGTGAAATTACCTTTTTCAAAACATATTAGTAATTTGAGTTTTCTCTCTCCTCTTGTTAGCGTAGCTAATGGTCTGTCAATTTTATTTATTTTTTTCAAAGAACCAACTTTTTGTTTTATCAATTTTTCAATTGTTTCTTTTCTTTTGATTTCATTAATTTCAGCCCTAATTTTAATTATTTCCTGTCTACTACTTTTGGTGTTGATTTGTTCTTCTTTTTCTAGGGCTTTGAGATATAGTATTAAGCCATTTATTTGTTGACTTTTTCTTATTTTTTTTAAAAACTGAAATTATCCTGCATTTACAGATCCAAAATCTTTCTATATTTTCTTGGATTTTCAATGTAATTATATTATCTATATATGAGAAGAAAATTTCTTTTATTAAACTTCCATTTTCTCTTAAAAATACTCTTGCCAGGCACAGTGGCACACACCTGTAATCCTAACAGTTTGGAAGGCTGAGGCAGGAGGACTGCAAGTTCAAAGCCAGCCTAAGCAAGTTGCCAAGGCCCTGATTAATTTAGTGAGACCTTGTCTTAAAATAAAATATAAAAAAAGAGGTGGGATGGCCCTGGGGGGCACCAAAATAAACAAACAAATAAATAAAAATAAACATAAAAGTACTCTTATTGCACTGGCTAGTTTATTTTTGCACAGCTGCAGTGATAAAGGGCATTTAATCACTGATTTTAATAGAAATGTTTTAAAGTTTTACCGTTAAATCAGAGTAAGAATGATCTCCTCTATTACTGGTTTTCCAAGAGCTTTTAACATCATTTTATGTTGAAACCGATCAAATGCCTTTTCTATATCTATTAATAGAACCAAAAAAACGTTATCTAAATTTCCATGGTAAATATAAAGATGCTCCACCTAAATCTTCCTTCAAAGAACTTGGTGACTCAGCTTCTGGCAGTTTCCAGTTGTTAGTACCTCCACATTTTCCTCAGTTCCCCCTAGAGCATGCTCCTTCCATACCCATGACTGACGAAGGCAGGTGTGTGAAGGGCCTGGTCACTGTGACTCACACTGGGGCAACCTGATGAGTGAAATATGCTTCAAAGCTCTCCTGGGCTTGGTGAGACTTTGTGGGCCAGCACCACAGTTCTCATTTGCCTTCTGTCCACTCCTGCTTGATGGTTTCGTTCCATATATGTTAGCAAGTAATAAGCATCCTGCACACTGAACTCCATCTCAGGATCTGCTTTCAGAGGATTCAAGTTTGTGGCAATTTGTTCAGATATTTTTAAGTGTTAAAAATAAAATCTTGGCTTTCCCAAGGAAACTTCTACTTAGTCTTAGATATGCCTGGATTCAGTTTCATATAACTTTGGCTTTTATTCATTCATTTGCCTCTGTATCTGCCCTTATTGTGTATACCCTACACAAATCAGCTGCTTGGGGTGCTATCAGGTGCCAAACACGGTGGTAGGACTTTTCTTTCTGAAGAAGTATATACTATGTGTTATAACCAGTACTCTAAAATGTTTTTATTCTTTAGTTTAGCTTGAATTTCAAAGCATCCCCAATCCTTTCAGGCACTTTCACCTTGCTCTAAGGGGCAGTTGTCCAGTGGAGCTTGTGTTTAAGAGATTTTCTACTTTGGGACTGAGCCATTGATAGCTTTGACAGTGCCATCCATTTGGGAATCACCTCGCTCAAACCTACTCCAATCTGTGGGCCAAGAGAGCTTCTCAGATCTAAGATGGAAAAAAGAACAATGCTTTTGCTATGCACTTACACGATTAAAAAATTAAGGATGCAGCTATATATCTTTACTGTTAATTTTGCTCAGAGGAGCTTTCTCTTCTTACCAGAAGATGACAGAAAGGGTACAGTTAGTTTAATGGCCTCCTATTCCCCATTTTTAGAAAAAATAAAACAAAACTTCTTTTTTTAAAAGAGCAAGATAAATAACCTTTACTATTCAGAACTTTTAAACTTTAGTAATACACTGATTTTCAGGTTCTACTATTTAGTAGATTATTAGAAATATCCTTAAGAATTACTAGAAATAATCATTGTTGATCTCTGTACCACATGGATTGAATAAAATATATTTGGCGATTATAAAGGATTATGAATTTGTCTAGAAGTTATGAATATGTGGTATGGAATCTACAAAATGAGCTCATTATAATTAATAAAAATCTGGTAAAAGCAAGTGAAAAGTAAAACTCTTTATACATCACTGATTTATAGAAATTCTTATTTGAAATATAAAAATGCAATTTGCAAGTCTTTGATTTTGTAAATTATGTTATAATGTACTCATATGAACAAAGAAGGACTAGATGATAACCATCCTATATAGTATATTTCCTGTTTTACAGATGAGGGCAAGAAAGATATGTGACTCACCTACATTACATGCTAGCTAGTGACAAAATTGCTGTAAAACCCAAATATCCTGACCCTACATTAACTTCACTGTCTTTAAAAAGATGACTCTCCATAAAAAGTTAATTTGGCCATGGCTTCTGCCCATACAAAAAGACTAAGTTCATTATAGGTTTGTTTAACTCAAAATAACTGAAGTTCCTTCAGAGACAGGTTTATTTGGAAAAGAAAAGAACCCCTTATGAGGTTCTGGGGTCTAAAATCCTAGGAGATGGCTGCCGGGTCAAGAAGACCAAATGGGACAATCCCTAGGAAGAGCAGAATGATGGGGCAGAAAGCAGGGAGATGGGCGCTCCCAACACTGAACCTTATGAAGAAAGAGGCAAGTTGTGCTATCCACCTACAGCACAACAGCACAGGGCAGGAGGGGCAGCTGCAGTGGGAAGGGGTCAGAGACAACCCTCCTTCAGACAGGGCCTGGATAAGAGAATAAACCTGACACACACACACACACACACACACACAAAAACAGTTTGCCCTGAATGCAGTCCCTGGTTTAGGATAGCAAATACTCCAACCCTTTAAATGGCTCATCTCCCTTGAAAGCCTGATTTTAAACGATTGGGGAAGTGAAAAATTTAGAAGTAATGCTATAAGTTGAGGTTTCACTTAATAGAAGTCAGATCTATTTTTCAGAGTCCTCTGCAGGTGGAGGGCTATAGAAACTTTAGACATTTGTGGCTTGGAATCTGCAAAGCTCTGTTCTGCTTTTCTCCTTGCTGTGGCCAGAGAATGCCGGCCATTCTGTAATGGTAGGTCTATTTTGCCAGAAAACTCACATATTTGTGGGTGGAGTCAGTTGGGAGACTGGAGAGATTTTTCAAAAGACTGCATTGGCCAAGTACTGCAGGGACTTCCAGAGGGTGAAAAATAATACCTTGGGGGTTAGCAAATTTCCACTGTTTGTGGAGCCAAAGTTGCAGCTCTGGAAACATGGCAAGTAACTGATCACTCCAGGGGAGGAGAGCTGAAAGCTGGATAAGTGACATGTGCTTTCACTGTGTCACTGAGAACAGTGGTAAAGGCTCCTACAGCCAACCTGGACTATCTGGGTTATGGCCCAGGCAAAATTCATCTTCAGTGGCTCCAACTACAGGTTTCTTCTTAAAGCTTGGATATTAGGGAATCACAGCTGTCCACAGAGTTAAGTCAAAATGCAGTAAATTAAGGGCATATACAAAGTTACCTTAAAAGAGCAGATCTGGCTGGGCATTGTGGCGCACGTTTGTAATCCCATAATCCTGCTGAAGCAGGAGGACTGCAAGTTTAAAGCCAGCTACAAAAATTTAGTGAGGCCTTAAGCAATTTGGCAAGACCTTGCCTCAAAATAAAAAATAAAAGTGACTGGGGATGTGATTTGGTTAAGTACCCCTGGGTTCAATCCCTAGTACCAAAAAAAAAAAAAATTAAATGAAAGAAAAAGATCTCAAATTTGAGTTCATAATTCTCTGTAAGGAACTGATAAAAAGTTGTTTATGCAACCTCACTCATGCAGATGTAATGTTCATCTACAGCTTGGGGATGGATGGGCTCAGGTTAACACTTAAGAGAGTGGCTTAAAGAGACAGCACAGCCCTAGGTTAAGGTACATAGTGTTATTTCTACTGAAGAGTGTGTCTGTTAGAAAGGAGGGTTGTCCACAGTTATAAACAAAGCAGAAAGAGCCACTGAGATACAGGCTGATGGTGCCCATCCAAGGACAGTCCAGGACAGAGCCTAAGCAGAGGACATTGATATTCCTGTTGCCAACCTGACTTTGCTGAGCCTAGACTTTGTCTAGTTAGAATATACATCTAACAATTTTCAAAAATCCCCTTTCAATCTTCATTTTTATTAAACAACCATCTGATTAAACACCACCCTTCCCTATAGATCTGCCCATAGGGACAAAGTGTTCTGGTCTTGCTAATATGAACATTCTGGTATGCATGGCAGTGACCGTTCATGCTAGAGACAAGTAAATCGGCATTCTGTTTTATACATTTGTCCTCTAAGCTTGGATAAGCTCTCTCTTTGGAGTCAGATCAACTGTCAGTGTGCTGAAAATCAGATTTTTAAGCCTATCAGATTGAAGTCTAGAATATTAAAATACCAGCTGCTGTCCCTGGCAATTGGCTAGTCATGCACCCTCCCACTGAAAACAACCATGCTTACCTTTTACAGGACATCGGATTGACACATTTGCTTGAAGGGCTGCCTCCACGATGCCTCCCACCACAATGGACAGATGGTTGTGCTCTGGTTTGGTGATATTTCTTTCAACAGACAAGATGACAGGTGCCTCTTAATTCAAAGGGAGTAGGAAACTATGTTAGGTTCAGGCTTCAGTTGTTGATAAACCATTCTGCCTTTTGTAAACTTTGTTGAGCTCTTTGAGAGCAGGGTAGAATGCTGGTCCTTGCTATCCCCCATGGTACACCATGGGGACTGGCACATACATAGCTAGAGATGCTCAGTGGACAGATGAACAGATTGGGTATATAGATGGATGGATGGACAGTTGGCTGGATGCTTTCAAAGGTGCACTGCAACAATTATATGTAGGCTATAAAGATATTTTCCTTTTATAATCAGAAAAAAAGAATAATTCCTCTTTGATAATTTGAAGAAGGAATTCAGAAGTTCAGAAGAAGCAATGAAGACATGAAAGGGCAGGAATAATGTCTCTGCCATGTGGCCTAGGATGAGTTGAAGCAGGGACAAAACATGCCAGGGCTTGTGACCACCTGACATTTTCTGGAAGGGAGAAGGCATGGGCTGAAGGAGCAGGACCAAATATCCTGATCCATTCTTCTGTCCCTTGGTAGGAGTTATCCTGGATGGAGAAACCTCTAGGAGCCCTCTCATCTTGAGCTAAGAATAAGACAAGGTTCTATTCAGTTAAAACATTTTCCAAATGCCCAATCTGTGTCCATTCTGGGGTAACAAGATCAGAGGTACTTCTCCTCTCTTGATAATCACAAAGACTACCTACCAGTGCAGAGGGTGCAAGCAGGTGTTTTCAATATAAACATGGTATCTACAATATCTCTTACAAAGTTTTTCTATATATGGTGCCAGAGTCAGGCTGTTGTGTTCTCCCCAGAATAAAAACTAGGGTTCTAGATATCATTCAAAGACAAATCAGAGAAAATCATATAGGAAGACCACAATTCTTGTTGAGCCTCTTCTAATTATATATTCATGTGCTCATGCAAAATTTTTCCTCTCTGGACTTTAGTTTGAATCCCAGTGAAAGGACTTCAGTAAAAGATTTCTTAGGTATCTTCCAGCTACACTTCTCTCACTCAAAGTATGGTTCATAGAGGCCCCTTCTTACCTGACTTAAATGAACTCATCTCAATTTAAAATAAAATGCTATTATTATTTAAAGACTATTAACTGCAAAGAGGCCTACTTAAAATATTATTCACATCTCTCTATACGCAGAAAATCTCAAGGGAGAAGACATCAGATGTACCCAATTTATGAAACTCTCTGAGGTTATTACAAGTGGATTAGAATAGTCTGCAAGGAAAGTTCAAATTTAGCATTTTAGTTAATGTGAAACAAATACCTGAATAAAACTTATAGGAAAAAAAAATAAAAACAAACCCCAAAAGAGTAAAGAATCCAAAGACTTTCACTTCTTTGAATTTTGATACTTAGCTAACAGATTAATTCATTAACTCATTCAGGAAACGTACTTTCTGCCTGACATGAGCAACAGGAATACAGAGTTGGAAAACACACATTCTTGCCCATGAGGAGCTCAAGGACTGGTGACACCATTACTGCTCAGGGTTATGGATGTTGACATAGAGAAAGAGGCTGTTTGCCCAGGGGTTACACAGCAGTATGTAGGTATCAGGGAAGGCAACATCCCAGGAAGGACACTGACAACATTCCTCTACCACAGCACCATTGCAGTGATTGGTTTCCCTAATCTGACATTAATATATAAGCTCCTGGGCAGTGGGGAGACTATACTTCTTTAACCATTTTTATGGTCTATGCATAGCTAATTCATGAGAGAATAATGACACTTCAGCAAGCTATCTTGGTAACCATGGTATTCTGGAGAAGAGAATCAAGGAAAGGTCACGTTTGGGAGGGTGGGGGACCGAGCATTGTACTCTCCTAGAGAGTGTGGCCCAGTGGAAAGCTACCTTAAGAAGTATAAAGACAGAAAACTTTTGGCTGACAGAAGGCTTTGGTTGTCACAGCTCATCCTCTGGCTCCTGAGGACTACTAGAAATTTAGATTATTCTGGGATGGGCTTAAGGGGAAACTGAAGTGTACATGTGCATATGTGTAGGGTAAATTCTATTCCCCCAGGAATTCCAAAAATTTGGAACTGACTCTTCCTGGAAAGGAGCTAATGTTCACAGGGCAGAATAATCCAGGAGAAAACAAAAGGCTAAAGGCTCTGCCTTGAGAAGACAGCCAGAGAAGGGGCTCAGAATCTTTAAGCCATGCAGATTCACGGGCCTTTTAAAATCAACTGGCCCAGTCTCCTCAATTAAAAAATGTGAAGCACCTACCACACAGCACAACTCTTAGTTGACCAAATGCCAGACTCTAAACCCTGATATTGTTCCTCTTCTCATCTAAGTCTATTTGAGCCATAGACACCAGAAACTCCAGAGTAGGGAGGTCGGGAATAGCTCTTGTTTTATTTTTACAAAACATAAGCCTCCCACAAGAAGCACTGCCACCTAAAATGTTCCTTTATAATAAAAGCACATTTTAATATCAAAATGACATTGTCCAGCTCCTGTGAAGACACACATTAATGTAAAGTTGCAACCTCCAGGAGGTATTTCTAAGGATTGGCAGGCTTGCTATCAGGAGGGATATGCAAAAGAATAATTATTCTCTTTCCTTTAAAGGAAAAGGAAAAAAACCTCTAAACTTTAAAGAACTTTTAAAAAATCTTAAAAACTTTAAAAAAATATTTTGGGACTTTAAAGGAAAGAAAAGTCCATAATATCAATACCTCCTACTAAATCTGCCTCACTAATCTCCTTTTCTTCAAGAATAAGCTCTAGATTAGCCACTTCCAGAGAATGGGCCTTTATCCATCAACAGCCACATAACCTAGGAACATACTAAAACACCAATTCTCAGACTCATCCACACCTACCAAGGCAGAATCACAAGGGTAGGGACCAGCAATCTATGTTTTAACAAGCCTTCAGGTAACTGATGGAGTTCAAGGTTGAGAACTGACGCTGTGGAGATTAATGTTAAAAACAAAACAGAAACATTCTAGGTTTCAACCAAGGAGATTACCTGCATACAGCACAGAAGAACTTTCCACATCAGAACCAAGATGATTAGCTACAGAACATTCATAAATTCCTTGTTCTTTCCTTGTAGGATTCTTTATCTGTATTCTCCCAGGTCCATCCGAAATTATCCTGTAAAAGAGTTATAAAGAGGGTGCATTCAAGAACACATTTAACTGCCCTGGGGCCATTAAAAGTTGCAGAGAAAGAAGAAAAACAAATTTATAGGCCTTGGCCTAAAAGGGATCCCCAAAGATGATCTTGTCAAGCATCCTACCTATAGGCATGCAGATCAGCAGGGCAGGAGAGACTCTTCTCTTGCCTTAGATTCACTACACCCTTAGAACTAGACAGTGCTTGGGTAGCCAGCATCCCATCTTCCTTTACATGAGAACAGACTCTTCTGGATGGAATTTTGGCTTAATCTACCCCATTTAAAAACAAACCTATTAGTTTGTTGGGTATTAAACCTTCATTTCCAGCCCAAATCCTTCCTAAGAAGCTTCAGGTATGAGTTTTCACAGTGAGATCCAGCGGGCTTTGGTATAAGCTACTCTGTGACAGATCACTGTCTCACCATCACTGTGTGAAAAGGTCAGCTGAGGTAACAAGCTAAGACTTCAGTTTGTACGGAATTTTGACTGTGCCATTAAGAATTAGGGATAGTGGGCATAGTGGTATATGCTGATAATCTCAGTGGCTTGGGAAGCTGAGGGAAGAGGATTACAAGTTCAAATTCAGTCTCAGTAATTTAGTGAGGTCCTGAGGAACTTAGTGAAATCCTGTCTCAAAAGAAAAACGTCTGGGGATGTGGCTCAGTGGTTGAGAGCCCCTGGGGTCAATCCCTGTACCCCTCTCCCCCCGACACACACATACAAAAAGAATCAGGAATAAACTGCATGAGTCCCTTATAGTTTTCCAATTACTGATATTCCTAAAAGCCTACATGAAAATACCACTTTGACAATCAGGTGTTTACTAATTAGGTTATTATTCAGAGAAGTGAGAGAAACTTTAAATTTTATTATTCCTAATGATATGAATCTACTTCTAACCTGGACCATTGGCCCATGTATTATTTATTTTCCCATCCCACTTTATAGATCTTAGCAACAGGGACCAGTCTGACTTCTAAACATAGCATTTCTTCATTAATTGAGCTGAGCCACTTCTTCCTGTCACTTCCTGTCACTCATCCTATGCTCCAGCCATAACAAACTTGTTTCCAGAACATTCCATGATCTTACATCACCTTGAGCTTATGCATATGTTGTTCTCTTTATCTGAAATGGCCTTTCTTCCTGCAATACTTTGTCCTACCATTGGGTACTGGATCACATGTAATTTCCCCTGTAAAGTTTTCCCCAATACTCTTCCATTTATCTTCTATCCCCTCTGGGCTCCTTATTCTCTGGTTCAAGTATTTATTTGCTGAAATATCTATTTCTTTCCACTAGAGTGTGATCTTTTCAAGGGCAGGGGCCAAATCTTATTCACAGCTGTGAATTCCCACTGCTTAGCACAGTGAGTTTTATACATCAGCTCTCAAAAAACCTTTGATGAATAAATACATGAATGACCAGAACAGAACACAGTAATGGCACAGAGGAAAGGTACAAGGAGGATATGAGGCTCCCCTGCAGCACACGTGTGAAATCCACAAAAGGGACAGAAGTCAAGACAGATGAAGTGGTCCACAGCAATGGCACTGTGGCAGACCTATCTGTCTACAGGGCTAGATATTCACTATTAAATTACCACTGAGGAGGAGCAGTTGAAAAAAAAAAGTATGACTCCTAACTATACAGACATGAAAAATATACTAACTTATTTTCTTAATTTTTTCAAACATGTTTGTATGATTTATCAATTCTCAATTTATTTGGTAGGCCTCAAGAAGTCAATGAGTTTGAGATTGCTGAGCACTTGTGAGCCTTACTTTCCAAGAGATGCCACCCAGGTACCTAAGCCAGAGCAGTCCTTGAGCTGGAGAACCAGCAGGCAGAGCTCCTAACAGATCCAACCATGGCCTCTGCTTCACAGTCTTACTGTCAACTTGAGGTAATGACAAGGCTGAACTTTCTATAGACACCATCTCTAGTTGACTCACCCATAGCCTTCCCTTCCTCGCTGAGATTTTTTACTCAATATTGTCCAAACAATATTCCACACCTATATGGTTTCTTTTGACAGGACAGAGGTTCTTAGAAACATAATTCTATTTCTGAATTTCTTCTGTTGAAAAGATTTGTGAGGCTCAGAAAAATATATTTGAGCACCTTTGTTATGTACAGGAAATTAAAAGTAAAATGAACAAATAAATTTCATAGGTTTCAGAGAAAAAACTAAAAAGAAAAATGGATCTTACTCTCTTAAAAAAACAAAAATCAAAAATTTTTATTAGACATATGGAGTTGCTTCAGTTTTGAATGGTTGATCTTTAAGCATGCAGAAACACATCTGAGTGGGATGTACCATGTCAAAACCTTTTATTTACATGAGCTCTACAAATCTCAGCCTCAGAAAACTTAATTCCATTTCATCAACTTTTTTTTTTTTTTTTTTGGGTACCAGTGGTTGAACCCAGGGGAACATAACCATTGAGCAATATCCCCGGCTGTTTTTAAAAATTTTATTTACAGACAGGGTCTCACTAAGTTGCTTAGGGCCTCACTATGTTACCGAGTCTGGCTTTGAACTTGTGATTCCCTTTCCTCAGCCTCCTCCTCCCTGTGATTACAGGCGTGTGCCACCATGCCTGGCTTCATCAAGTCAACTATTGGCAATCAACTCAATTTGACAAATATTTATTCTAAATGCCCACGTTCCTCTATATCACTGTAGTACTTGTGTGGCCATAGGTCAACTCATCAGCTTTTTCAGGCTATTTCCTTACAATGCACACAACTGAACTGTGAGCCAGATAGCAGTCTACAGAGGGTAGTCCATGGACCTTGTGTCAGTGAGGGGAAAGGATGTTCCCCATAATACTGAAACATTATTTGCTTTTTCCATTGTTGTATTGACCTTTGCATTGATTTTTCAAAGACAGTGATGTTCAGACTCCTGGCGTGAAGCAGGCAGTGTCATCCACATAGTCACTGTGGTGTGGACTACCACACAATGCAATACAAACAAAACTGCCAGTATCACTTCAAGACGTTCCAAATGAAGTACCAAAACTTGTTAATTTAACTAAACTTCAATCCAGTACAACGGTTTGTAATATTCTGTATAACAAAACAGGGAGCATACACAAAACACTTCCATTGTGTGCTAAAACATGCTGGTGTGATTGAACTGTTAGCTGTTGTTTTCATGGACTATGATGTTTGTTTGAAAGAATACCTGGCAGACAAGCTATGACAAAAAAAGTCCACACTGTGTTTTGAACTTGGGTATTTAGCAGACACATACATATTTTCAAATGAACAAAGTGAGCTGGTCAACTCAAGGAAAACAACTGACAGTATTTGTTGCCAATGATAAAAATTGGAGCTTTCAAGCAAAAATTAGAATTTTGGAAAGCTAGCATCTATCATTGAGAGGTTGGCACATTTCCAAAACAGAGATTTTCCTGATGGTAATATTAAAGTGTCTGTGAATTTTTATATGGTATAAAGAAATGTGTCAATGTTTTAGAAGATATTGGTATAACTCAGTGAGCCAATATTTTACAAATTTGATATGATATTATAAACTCTTGCTTAGGTGAAAAAAATCTATTCAAAGTGCAAGGTAAAAATCGGTAGATTTGGGCTGGGGTTGTGGCTCAGCAGTAGAGCGCTCACCTAGCACGTGCGAGGCCTTGGGTTCAATCCTCAGCACCACATAAAAATAAACACACAAAATAAAGATATTGTGTACAACTAAAAAATAAATATTAAAAAAAATCAGTAGGTTTCAGTGAACAGAGTGCCAACATTTCACAAATACGATTTCCATTTCACATTCCAAATAACCTTTGAGAAACTACCATTTGTCCACGTTTGGTGTAGTTTTAAAGGAGAATATCCACAATTATCTGAAAATAGCATTAAGATATTCCCTTTTTTAATGTATCTTTTTGAGGCAGTTTATTCACCATAAGTTTCAACTAGAACAATATACTCGAACAGGTACAAAAGCATATATAAGAATCTCTGTATGCATATATAAGAAGTGTGTGTGTGTGTGTGTGTGTGTGTGTGTGTGTGTGTGTGTGTGTTAGTTACACCAGGCAGGGATTGAACCTGGGGCCTTGCACATGCTAGGGAAGCTCTCTAGCATTAAGCTACATCCCAAGTCCTTATTTATTTATTTTTTTAAATTTTGAGACAGTGTCTTGCTAAGTTGCTGAGGCTGGCCTGGAACCTGTGATCCTCCTGTGTCAGCCTTTAGTATGTGCCATTGTGTCCAGCTAAGAATATCTTTTATTAAGCCAGACACTAAAGAGATTTGCAAAGACATAAAGCAATTCCACTGGTATCAGTAATTCGGGATGATGGGTATTGCTTTTTAAAAAATATTTATATAAACATGTAATAGTCATTCACAAAGCTTATTATTTTTTATAAATAAATCAATAGAGATGTTAAAAATGTTTCTTGGTTTATATATCTAACAAGCTAAACAGCAATAAATATAACTCAAATAACAAAAACTCTTTGGATTCCTCAATCATTTTTAAATTTAGAGAGACCCTCAGACTAAAAGATTTAAGAACGACTAAACTTTATGCTTTATTCCACTTTTACAATTGCAAAATTGTGTTAAGAGTCCTAAGATACAAATACAAAATTTAGACTTTTTCCTATATTTTTGTTTAAGCCTTAGCCTAATGATTGATTATTTTTAAAAAACTGAATTTTACCTGGGTTTCTGACGTTTTGTGTATTAGGATCAAGGCACAAAGAACACGATGAAAATTAAACTTGCTTTTTGAAAGAACTTTATGGTATGCAAACCAATTTCACACCTGCTGTTTTGTTTCTTTCTCTTACAATCTCTAGAGACAGATAAGGTGCAAGTTGCACTCTTAAATGCAAATTGAAAGAAAGCACAATGTCTTTATGTAAAACAGCAAAATTAGAAGAATGCAAAAATGAGTTAATATTGGTTATCCCTTATTTTATGTAAAATAAATGAAATGGGGTACTTTTGCCCTAACATAGAGATGAAAATAAAATGATTGAATATTGTATTTTAAGCATCTCAGAAAACTTTGATTCTTATCATTTTATTTTTCTATTGTATGGCATAAGACAATGCATGAAAACAGAAAAATATTTTGGATATCCAAGTTTTCTGCTAAGGTTACTGTTTGATAGTCAGACATCATGGGTGATGTTTATGAGACATGGTCCCTGGTTCAGACTGGCTTTGAAGTGGTCATGGGATTCTGTTTCTCTATGACTTCATCAGAAAATTGTTCAACCCTGCCCTGCCAACCTAGCGTGAGCTCAAATGAAATACTCTATCTCCTAGATATGGAAGAGCTCTGTGAATTCTGATTTGCACTTGCAACTTAACAGACTACTACTTCTATGTCTGTTTTTTTTTTTTAGAGGGCTTATAGTGATTTTATTTTTGTGCTATACAAAGGGACAGTCTATCTCTATGTGCTTTAAACTCATTCTTACTGTATTCAGTCTTATATCAATATTATAGTAATTGAGAAAACATGATAGTTTAATTTTAAAAAATTCCAAATGCATGTGTGTAAAGAACATCTTAACATTCTTTAGTTTTGTTTTAGTTAAAAACATAGTCTTAGGAGAAAGAATTTGAAATGTTTTCAAGAAATCTAGAATGGCCATTAAAAAAGGACTACCAAAATGAATGCTGTATTCTTATTTTACTTACTTTACTGATGGTTGTAACAGTGCTCCATCCTTGGTCCATGTATATGTGGCCTCACCGGGGGTAAGAAGGTCACAGAGTATATTGATGACCTCTGTCCTTTTAGTGATATACACAGTATTTCCAATCCTTGCATTTATTGTTTTGTTAAATGAAACCGAAGGGTGTTGGCTTTGCCTCATGAGAATAGGTCCTTTTGGTTTAAAGGTCAGCCTGCCTGAGTTTTTCACTTTTGAGCTTTGGGGCAGACTTTCTGTTGTGCCCCTGAGCTGAGCAGCAGGAGGCACCTCTTCCTGGATGCCCCTCCATTGAATGTGTGCTGACTGGGTCTTGGTTAACTCAGCCACCAGCTGGTAAATCACCTGAGAGGCAAGGTCATCACTGACCTCTCTGGTTTCCAGAAGCAGACTCATGTTTCTTATCAGTTCATCAAATTGGACTGTATCCATGCTATATGCTCCCTGTTTAACTGCTGCTTCAAACTGCTTATTCTTAAACTCCCAGGAATTGGTGTTGCCTGCAGAATTGCTGCAGTGGCCTAACAAAGCTCTTAAGAAAGGCTGGTTATTAATTTGGTCATCATGTAGGTAAAGCTCATTTTTGTTACTCCACATTTGTCTCATTTTATGCCACGCAGTTCCCAAACTATCAGCTTCGTTGCCATCCATCCCAGGATATTCCCTCATTTGCTCTCTGAGGGCAGGGTGTGCAATGAGCCGGTTGTCTGTTCCAATGAGCTTGAGCACAACTGTTTCCTGGGCTGAGCCTGCAACGCATCTGTACACACCAATGTCAGGGGCTGCGAGACTGTGGATCTTCAGTGAGCCTGACTTGGTGATGCCAAGTCGTTTGGAGTTCTGCAGACAATGGCCATCCTTCTCCCACCGGATCAGAGACTTCTGGAATCGTCGTACTGGGCATTTAATAATTACAGATGTGTTGGGCAGCAAATAGGCTCTGTTGCCAATGGTCAGATTAATACGTTTCTCCTCCCTTGTCTGAATATAGACTCTCTGGACACTGAGAATCTGAGGACCCTGCTCACCAAGTTTTATTTTTGTCTTTGGTTTTACTTCTGCAGGAAAAAAGAAAGAAAAGAAATTTTAAAAAATTCAAAAATACTAACAACTTTTTGACAGTCATCTCCCAAACCTACATTACTCTTTTAAAATATGTGAGTTAAAACATGAATAACATGATACATGTATACACAAATAAATTTTACAACTATCTAGTACTTCAGCAAAGAATGCAAGTTTAAATGAGGTGCATGAAAACGTGTGATTTATTTTACAAAGCTCTGTTTTGGGGAAGTAAGAGGTTAAATGCTTTAATGAAATTTAGAGAATGGGTATTCTACATTAGAGAAATATTCATTCTAATGCATGATCACATGATGGCTTCATAATATATAATTCATAAAGTGCCTCTCTCCCTGTTTCATCAAGTTTTGGGTATAAGTTTCATCAGTAAGAGGGTGATCTGATACGTTGGGCCTCTACCATTTAGCAGGGTTACCTTTGAGGAGCTAGTCTGGCTTGGAGTTATGGCTACACCAAATCTGAAGAAAGAAGAGAATGGAAATGTGAATAAATTCATTTGAAGGGTTCAAAAAGGAGGATGAAGTTAGTCAATTGCAGAAACTAGCCCAAATATGCCAGTTAAACAAGCATGGCAGGGTCTGAGGAAGCAATGGGGAGCCATGATCAAAAAAGAAAATATAAAGCAGGTATTTTGAAGCCAGACAAATCTGGAGTTTGAACCTTAGCTCTGCCACATGAATAAGTCATTTCATTTTTCTGAGCCTTAGTTTTCTTATCTGTAAACTGGATAATTTAATTAGTACTTTCATTAGAGGAGTGTGGAAATGAAGTCACATTGTTTGTGTAAAGAGCAAAGCATAGTAGTAGGCACTTAATGGGCTCTTCTATATGATTACTGTGCCCACTGGCTAGGTAACCAAGGCAGGTTTGGAAAGAAGGTACAGAGCAGACTAAGGGGGAGTCAGAGATGGGCTGGCTTTTTTCTGGCATGGATTCTAGTGAACTGGCTGGGGCCAAGGACGACACACCTCAGATCCTGTCCCCAGGGAAGTGCCTCTCTCCCTGTTTCACCTGAGAGGAAATATACTGTGATTTGTGTGATTTGGAGGAGAGGGAAGGGACCATGATGTGGGAACAAGTCTGGTTCCTGCTTGATGATACATTTTGGTCTCTGGGCAGATGTGGGGTATGAGCTGGAGGGCTTGGAGATACTAGTGAGTGGTAGGAGAAGGACTGGACTTGCATCAAGTATTACTTGATTCAGGAGGTCATGAAGTTGGGACCTCATTACTTTGGCCCTCTGAGAATTAATAGCAGCATTGACATGCTGTGAGAAAAACCAGATCAATATTCCTCTTAGTTGGCTTTCTCAGGCCTTGGCAGTAGTTACAGGGTATGTACTGTTTACAAGAATAATTTCTACAGTCCTCTTGCTGGTTCATAAGCCTTTTTCAGTGTGGCAACCTCCTGGGGTTTAGTGGTGTCGTTAGGTTCAGAAAAGCAACAGAGACTCATAATTTCTGAAATAGAGGTTTTTCAGTGAAGGACACATGATTAATTTGTATACAAATTTCATTGATGTGCAACTGGTAGTTCAGGCCTATGGATCTCAGAATGGGTCCAAGGGTTCTAACCCAGGATATTCCCTCAGCTCATTTCTAAGTGGTATCAGATGACCTGCCACTTGGACAGTTTCCTCTTTGGGATTACAGAGTATCCACAGAGAATGTCAACCTGGCCCTATCTAGCATATAGATTTTCTTTTAATGGGCAACATAAAATTTTGAACTTACTTTGAATCATGACCAAAGGCAGAAAGAAGACCTTATAGAGGTGTTATGTTTTGGACATAAACTGTCCCTTAAAAGCCACATGGCTTGGTTGCCAGCCTGTGGTGCTAGAGGTGGAGCAAACTTTAGGAGGTGGGGCATAGTTAGAGGAAGTAGGTCCTGGGAGGCAGATAGGCCTTTGAAGAGTATATTTTGTATTTGGCCTCCTTCTCTCCTTCTTTGCTTCTCATCATCATGAGGTGAACAATTTTATTCCAACTCACCCTTCCACCACCAACAGCTATAGAGCCTTCTGACCAAGGACTAAAACCTCTGAAACCACGAGCCAAAATAAATGTTTTCTCCTGTTAATCAATTTCTCTCAGATACCTTGTCATAGTGAAGGAAAACTAACAGAAGAGGATTCTCTGGTTAAATTCATAGTCCACCCATTACTACGTAAACAATGGTTTTAAAAATATTAATCTTCACAGAAAATGCTCAATCAAAACAGCTAACTATTTATTAATTTCAATGCCCATCCACAAACGTTCTAATTTAGTGTACAGTGTGGGTATTAAAGTATTTAAAAGCTCCTCAGGGGACTGAATGTGCAGCAAAGTTTGAGGACCATTGCCCTAGAGTGTACCATGATTAAACCAAAATAGTAGAGAGAGGTATTCTTGTCCCAGTTTATTTTACTGATAGACAATTTTATGGGATGCTGCTGGTAAAGAGGGAAGGGAAAATAAGAAGCAGCATCCATGTTATCTAACGAGATTCCTGTGCAACATGCAACATCTTCTATAAGAAGATAGAGGGAAGAGTGCTTTCTGGTCTCTGTTTCAGTAATCATACTTTGAGTCATCACAGATGGTCCCCTAATCAGGATGGTTCAACTTAATGCTCCTTTGACTTTCTTATGGTACAAAAGCTATCTGCATTCAGGAGAAACCATATTTTGAATTTTTATCTTCTCCCAGGCTAGCAATATAAGGTACAATACTCTCTAGTGATGCTGGGCAGCAAGCAGCAAGTCACAGCTCCCAATTAGCCATGTGCCCTCAAGGGTAAACAACCCAGACTCCACTGTGTACTGTGTTACCAAATTATGATGTTTGGCAGGTTAGTGTATTAATGCATTTTCCACTAATAATTATAAACACATACACGCACACTCCACAGGGAATTGAAATCAGGACTGTTCTACTATTGAGATATACCCACAGCCCTTTATATTTTTTATTTTAAGACATTGTCTTGCTAAATCGCTGAGGTTGTCATTGAATTTGTGATCCTCCTGCCTCAGCCTCCGGAGTCACTAGGATTATGTTAAGTTCCTCCGGAGCAATGCCTGGAGTATGGTGACACTGGGCTCAGTTCTTAGACAAAAAACTGGTCCAGTTCTGGGAGACTGCATCCTCCCATATATGGAAGTGTCCCAATGCAGTGACACTGGCTAAGGCTCATTAGGCAAGGGCATCGTCCACTCTGCAGAGAGCAAGCAGGTACCTCAGCATCCTTCTGGAGAGGGTTCTGGCCTGTACAAAGGGACTAACTCATCTCTCAACTGTGCTGAGTTTGAGAAATGCCACATTTTTTGTCTCTTTCTAAAGGTACACTCATCCACTGCTGATGGGACTGCAAATTGGTGAAGCCAATATGGAAAGCAGATTTCTTAGAAAATGAGAAGCGTTTTCTTCTCTGTGTCCCCCTTTTGAGTCTTTGTGCCACCATGCCATACAGGCCAGCTCTAGGTTTCTGGGGCTCTTCAGGGAGTTGCCTGTGGCTCCTCGCTTGTCTGTCCTGCCTTCACTCCCATGGTATCTTTGCCATGAATCTGAGGCTTGGTGTCAAGCCAGGCTTCTGCCCCAAGCCATCTGGACTGGATATTTACACTTGGTCTTGCCAGCATTTGACTCCTGCCACTCCCTAATGGGCTTTGGCTGTGACCCAGCCTCTAAGTAAGCCTTCCTATCCCTGCTGGAACTCCACCTACTCAGAATCCAGCCCTCAATCTGGCTGCTGGGCTGGTGCGGATTCCCTTTCCTTCCTCTGGGAGTGAAGATCCATCAAGCTAATTTGAAGCTGTATAAAAACCCTGGGCAGTTTTTCTGGATTCTTTTAAGGCTTCTCGGAATGTAGGAAAACAGGTAGCTGAGTGGAGGCTGTAAGGGATACAGTAGGCGGGACTTGCTAAAAGAGTTATGAAGGCCCCAGGGCCCATGGCTATAGTAAAATCCCAGATCATCCTGAAAAAATGGCTTTCACTTACTTGTTTCTATTGCCCTTTTCAACTAAATGCTGTCTGGCTTCTGCTCCCAGAACTGCACTAAAACTCTCTGGGAAAGACCACACATCGCCTCTCAGTGATAAATCCAACGCCCTCCCTCTGTGTTCTTATTTGTCCATTCTAGAGTATATGGCACCACAATCACTTCCTTCCTGAAGAAGTCTCTCCTTCCCAACATTTTAAACCTTTTTTTTATGGTTCCCTTTGATCCTGTTATGGCCAGTATCCTACTAGATGTTTCTACCCCTTGGGTGCAAGTGCTTGGCCACTTTCTCTTCTTGCCCTATAGTTTTCCTTGGATGATCTTAAATAATTCCTTTAGGTTAATGTCTCCCAAGTTGATCTGTCTCTCCTAGACCACTCTCTGGAGCTTCAGACCTATTTATCCACTGTCTACTAGAAATTTCTTCCTGATAAAAGTTTCTTCACATATTATAATCTGGGCTGGGGATATAGCTCAGCACACTTGCCTACTGTGGTCAAGTCCTGGGCTGGAACCCTAGCACCACAAAGATAAAAAAATATTAAAAAATTAATTCAATATTATAATCTAAATATTATCTGTCCCCCCATCTCAATGATCCTCTACTTTCTATATTCCCTAAGTTAATGGCATCTGATTCTGCCAATTTTCTCAAGCCAGAAACTGGGAACCATCTAAATTCACTCACAAATCAGTGAGATTGCTAGCATCTATTCCCAACTCTGTATTCAACAATGTCACACTGGTGAATGGCAACTGGCAATGGCGGCAGTATTTATACAGTGGAAACTGAACCTGATAAACCAATGATAGCTACTTCTCCCCTATCATGATCCCACTGGAGAGCTGGTTTTGAACATTTACAAACACACCACGGACCCTTTCCTTCAGCTCCTAACTCTAGTTAGGCATCAAGAACTTGGATTACACATTAGAGCCATTGTTAGATTTCATCCTCTTTGCTCCTGCTCTCATGATGCTTACCTAGATATTGCCATATTCTCTGAACTAGGCTCCTGCCCACAGTTTCATATTTATTCAATGTCTCCATAGCTGCCAGAGGAGATGAACTGATCATTAGAATCTAAACTATTCATCATGAAACTCAAGGTCTCTTTTGTTATCATTCACCTAAGTTCTAGTCCTATGAGATTGCTTGAGTTCTCACAAAGTTACCACTTCTTTTGACACCTTCTACCTTTGTCCATGTTTCTCTCTTTTCCCAAATCCTCCTGTACCTCTCCCCGTGTAGGCCTGATGAATGGATACTTATCTTTCAGAAGTCCCCTCAAGGTTTCCTACTTGATGAAATTGTTTCCTCCCACTGCCTTATTTGTTGAATGAATAAGTGAAGAATTAAATATGTAAAAGAAAAAGTAATGCATATGCATTTGGATTCTATAGGAGCTGATACAAACACAAAATGGGTGCTAGTGAGGGGATCCTGATACTGGCTTGGCTTTTAAGGGCTGCAGGATGTCAGGCAGGGATCGGCCTTACTGAAACATCAGAACTGACAAGTTCAGGAGGAGGAGCACTGGAAGCCATACTGCACCGTAAGGTTCAGGGTGTGGGCATGAGGCTGGGAGAGCACAAGAGTCAGACTGTGAGCTGATACAAAGAGGGAGACAGAGGACAGGAGACAAGAAATTGGGTTTGAAGTAACCCTGGGAAGAGGCTTAGGCATACATTCTTGATATGTCAATCACATAGTGCATCTTGAATATCCCTCCTCCCTCAATGGTCCTGATCTCAGTACTTTGGGGAAAAATAGGAATCCTTCTTCACCAAAACTCAAGGACCCTGACACCAGGAGTTATAATTTTAAATTTTCAAAAATCAAATACTACATTTCTATTATTCTTTCAAGTGTCTGATTGGAAATGAAGACAATCATGGGGTTCATAGAGGAGGTGAGGATGTGAAATGGGGATAGCAGGTGTTATAAAGGTCATCGTGGGTACATGGGTGTTGGCTGTTCTGTATGTTGGCAAATGTTGAAGCAGAAGATAGTACCTGGTAGTGTGTCTTGGAGCAAGGTAGAGTATCTTGCAGGTCTACAATGGTGCCTTAGAAGGTCTACAAGGGCAATCCAAGTACTAAGTGCACATGGACAGTAGAGAAATGGTGCAGAGACAGCAGGGGCAGGGAGGTCAGGAGAATGCCAAGCTCGTCACTTGGTCCTGTGCTACAAATGTAGGGAGAAGAGGATGTTCTTCAGGAGCACAGAGGAAGAAACAATCAAAGCAAGGGCCATGGAGGGAAGGTGATGAACTGAGGCCAGGCTGCAGCTGATGTGCAGGCCCAGCTCAGGGTGACCTGGCTGTTGCAGGGAGCATGAATTCTTGCCTCTTGTCTGCTTCCATGCACTCCCTGTCTGGCAGGCTAGGGAACAGGGTGGAGTAAAGAGAAAATATAACTATCTTTTTTCTTTTTCTCTGTAAAATTTGTAATTTTACTCTGCCCTCCATTGTTCACCATAATAATTTATAATTTCATTCTGTACCACATTGCAAGGCCTCATAGCCACAATGTATTCCCATATTATTCTGTTATTATTTTAGAGGAAACTGCCAGTATGACTTTCATGTCACTCTCTTCTAAGATAGTTTAGAATGTAATCACAATGCTATAGAACCATTCACAACAATAATCAGATAGAAAAAAAATTAGATAAATCACTCAAACAAAGCATGACATGGTGCCATTTGCCACAGACATTCTTGAATTCCAGGAGACTTTAAACTTGGAATCTTAAGATTTTGAAAATCTGTTCTCAAAGGATTCCCAGGGAGGAAAAATGTTAATGCTGTCCATGAATCAGCAAAGAAAGGAAGTGAAGAAGAGCGTAGGCTTAGGAATCGGACAGACTTGTGGTCAAACAGGCCAAGGGATCCAACTGCCAGGCACCAAGCCTTGGGCAAATCTCACACTTTCCCTAAGTCTTGGATTCCTTGTCTCTAAATGGGGTAACATTTGTCTCACACATTGCTGGGGGAACTAAATGAGATAATGCATTCAAAGAATTCCCCATGGTAAGTGCTTAATAAATGTTATTATTTTAATTTAATGTTTCTATTATTTTGTTTTTCCAGAAAAGTTGACTCACACACATACACACACACACAAACCCCCTCACAAGCAGCATTAAAATAAGAATAGTTCACTTCAGATATTTTTTTTTCTAACCATAAGCAAGTTCAGGAGAGTACCTGAGGTAATGAATGTTATTTTGCAAGGGAATAATTAAAGAAAAAAAAAGTTGAAAAAGCAAATCAGGAAATGGATCCAGAAACTATTATTCACAATGTCCCTATTCCCTATTACCTCTCTGCTGACTAATTTCAATTGCTGTAGTGGAAACTGAATTCATCTGCTGTGACCCTCTTATAGAAAACATACATCTATGGGTATAAATATGCATCCTCTCCTGAACACTGAAAATACATAGAGCTCTGAATAGAATGAGGTCATTTATATTAATTCTTCATAGTAAGCTTATTACTTATAATGAATTAAAAGGGTAGCCAAACTGCCATATTAAAAAAAAGTACTTCATGTTTTCATTATTGCTGTTTTCAAATTACACTTAAGAAAAATACTTTAATATTAAAAATATTCAGCTCTTTTCCTTTTTTTATATTTATTTTTTAGTTGAACACAATATCTTTATTTATTTATTTTTATGTGGTGTTGAGGATCGAACCCAGGGCCTTGCATGTGCTAGGCGAGCACGCTCTACTGCTGAGCCACAACTCCAGCCCAACTCTTTTCCTTTTAATAGGTTGGATACAAATTTATTACTGGCAAAGTCAACTAGGAAGTTTATCAGTCTAACTTCTACATGTCACACTCCTGAATTCTAAGTAGAAGAAATCACATGGAGAATATAAATAAGTGAGAAACTTCAAAGATACATTTGCTAAGTGGATGCACATCTCTTAAAACCACCTTTCTTTAGAATTGTATCTTGATCTTTCACATTCTATCATTTGTTGGGGAAATTAAGTCTAAATTCTTCTTAATTTGCTTTACCCATGGATTAGAAATATGCTGATGTGTGGAAAACAGAGGTCTCAGGACAGAATGAGCAGAATCAAGGTCTGGTGAAGTGTGGCCTTTACATACTTACTGTGGCACGCAGGCATCTGGCAGGATCTTACAAGGGGAAGCCCTGGGAGGTCCCTGCACAATGTCTCGCTAAGGAGAACACGCCGGCCTCTGGCAGTCAGCCTCTGACACACCTGCTTTCTTCTCTGGAGTCCAACACCACAAGTGACAGAGCACTGCAAGGAGAGTTGAGCAACAGTCACATGGAGTGTGAGCCCACCAACCACAGTAAGGGACCTGACGGGGAATGGGGAGGGAGCTTGAAGTTTGGGTGTACCAATAAGCAAGTCATTTCCAAGCCTGAACATCTCTATGGACTGGAGGTTCTCCTTTCGACTTCTTCCCACCCTTCCTCTTCTTTCTCTCCTTTTCCTTCCTTCCCTCCCTCCCTCCCTTTCTTTCTTCACTCCCTTCTTTTGGAGATAAGTAATTAATTTACCGTAGTTTATTTTTGTAGATTTTTTGGCATTGTAATTGATATCTAATTTAATTTTTAGCTATTTGTTTATATAGTAAAATAATCTTAATTGATGTATTTTATTGGTGTATTATAATCAGACATAATAGTTGGATTCATTATGCCATATCCACATATGCACATAACATAATTCAATCAATCTTGTCCCCCAGTACTTTCCCTCTCTCTTTTCCTCCCTCTCCCTGATCTGCTTTTACTCTACTTCCTTTGGTTATGAGTAATATTTTAATTTGTGCATTATAATTACATATATAAAATCAGGATTAATTGTGGTATATTCAGACATGCATGTAGCATAATTTAGTGGATTATGTTTTTTAAAGATAGAAACAGGAACATAAAAAATAGAAAAGTAGAAATGTCAAAGAAAAGACAACTACCAGAAAGCCACATTGCTAAGTACTGCCAAACATTTTTAGAAAAGAACTAATACTAATTATTCTTAAATTAACCCAAAACTTGAAGGTGGGGTAATTTATCCAAACACATTCTATGAGGCCAGCATTATCATGATACCAAAACCAGTCAAGGACAATAAAAAAAAACTATAGACAAATATCTTTGTTATATATATTTGCAAAAATCCTCATCAAAATACTAGCAAACCAAATTCAACAGCACACTAAAAGTTATTCACCATGATCAAAGATTATTCATCCCAGAGTTATAAGGATGGTTCTACATATGTGAATCAATGAACAAGATATAGAATGAAGAACAAAACCATGTGATCATCTCAAAAATGGAGAAAGGCAACTGATAAAATTCAACATTCCTTTGTGATAAAAACATGAAACAAATTAGTTACAGAGATAAATATCTTAATACAATAAAGCCATATATAATAAGCCAACAGATAACATTAAACTGAATGAGGAAAAGCTGAAAGACTTTTCTCTAAGATCTGGAACAACACAAGGATGCTCACTTTTTATCCTTTTACTCAAAACAGTACTGGAAGGCCTAGCAGAGCAATCAAGCAAGAGAAAGAAATAAAGAGCATCTGAACTGGAAAAGAAGTCAGATTGTTACTGTTTGCAGATGCCATAATTTTATATATAGAAAATCCAAAGACTCCACCAAAAATTATCAGAACTAATAAATGATTGAACATGGTTGTAGGGTACAAAATCCACATCCAAAAATCAATATTATTGCTATATACCAATAGCAAATTATCTGAAATAGAAATCAAGAAAGCAACCCCATTTGTAATGCTATAAAAATGTATCTAGGAATAAATTTAACCAAAGAGGTAAAAGATCTTTACAATGAAAACTATAAAACATTGATGAAATAAATTGCAGTGGACACAAAAAATGGAAAGACATCCTACATTCATGGATTAGACTAATCAATATTATTAAAATGTTCATACTACCCAAAGAGAGCTACAGATTCAATGCTATTTCTATCAAAATAGCAACAACATTCTTTATAGAACTAGAAAAAAAAACTCCTAAAATTTGTATGGTTCCACTAAAATCCTCTTTTTCTTTTTGATAACAGCTAATAGTATATTGCCAAAGCAATCTTGAGCAAAAAGAAGAATGCAGGTGGTATCATACTACTTGACTTCAAAATATTTAAAAGGGGCAATAAACCTAAATAGTATTTCTCAAAAGAAGACATACAAATGATCGATGGAAAAAAGTTCAACATAATAAATCTTCAGGGAAATGTAAACCAAAATCGCACACACACACACAAAATCACCTCACTCAAGTAAGAATAGCCATGATGAAAAAAAAACAAAAGAGAACAAGTGCAAGCAAGGATGTGGAGAAAAGGAACCCTTCCACACTGTTGGTAGCAACATAAATTAATACAGCCATTGTGGAAAACAGTATGGAGGTTCCTCAAAAAATTAAAAGAACTACATGATCCAACGATCTTACTAGTGGGTATTTATCCAAAGGAAATTAAATCCATATGTCAAAGAGACATCTACACTCCCAGCGTTTACTGTAGCAATATTCACAGTAGCCAAGAGTAGGAAACAACTTAAGTGTCCACCAGCTGATGAATGGGTAAAGAGAATATTGTATCTACAATGGAATTTTATTCAGTCATAAAAAAGAATGAAATTCTGTCATTTGTGATGACATGGATGGAAGTGAATATCATTTTGTTAAATGAAATGAGAAAGACAAGTACCAAACGATCTTTCATATATGGAAGATAAAAAAGTTGATCCCATAGAAGTTGAGAACAGAATGGCAATTACCGCAGCCTGAGGAGTGTTGGGGGGTGGGGTAGAAGGGATGGGGAAGGATCAACCAACACGTAAGAAGTAACAGGAACAAGAAGTTCTAGTGCACTATTGCAAAGTAAGCCGAGTATAGATAACAATAAAGTATTTCACAGTTCAAAAAGCTAGAGAAAAAGTATTTTAATGTTTTCACCACAACGAAATGATAAATGGTTAGGCACAGGGGCACATGCCTCTATAATCCCAGTGACTTGAGAGGCTGGGGCAGGAGGATCACCAGTTCAAATTTAGCCTAAGCAACTTAGTGAAACATCACATGGAACCCCATTAATAGTTATAGTTTTTATAACTCAGCAATTTAGGGAGGCCTGGTCTCAAAATAAAAAGGACTAGGAAGTAGTTCAGTGGTAGAGCACCCTGGGGTGCAATTCCCAACATCACCACTCACATACACACACACACACACACACACACACACACACACACACAAATATTTGAGGGGAAATATATGTTGAACCTGACATAAACATTAGCCATGCATACATGTATGGGAACATCACATGGAACTCCATTAATAGTTGTAATTTTTATGTTAAAATAGAACTAATAAATTTTAACAATGTTTAAAAAGGAAAGTACCATGGTTTGGCTGTAATTTGAATGCCTCCCCAAGGTTCATATATAAAGGCATGGTCCCCATGTGGTGCTGTTGGGAGGTGCTATAGTATCTTTAAGAACTGGAGACAGTTGAAGGTCCTTAGATCACTGGGGATGTGCCTTTGACAGGGATTGTGGGAACCCCATACATTCCCATACTCTCCTTCCTGACTTGAGAATTGTGACACTTGCTCCCACTATTGTTATTTACCAGTCTCACAAGAACTGAGCTGATGCATGTTGTCATACCTTTGAACTTTCAAAAATCTAGCTAAATAAATTTTTATCTTCATAAATTCATTGCCTCAGGCATTTAGTTGTAGCTGCAAAGTTGACTAATACTTTAAAGAATCACCCAAATGCTATATATAAAATAGCATTAATACTTGATAATCACTGTGTATCATTTAATTTGAATTTGAATTTAATGTGATTTTATTAAGTATAGTAAGAAAAACTAAAATAAAAGGATTTGATGAATATACATCTTTTTCTACTATAATTAATTCCCTGAAAGAACGTCTAAAGTTAAGAAATAAGATTAAGAAAACCAATAAGAGATTTGGATAGTTTTTTTTTAAAAAAAATTTTATTTGTTTTAATTCATTACACATGACAGTACAATGATCTTGATATATCCTACATTTGAATCAGATGGGATATAATTTCTCATTTTTCTGAGTGTACAGGTTGCAGAATTACATTGGCCATGCAGTCACGTATATACCCACAGCAATAATAATGTCTACTTTGGATAGTTATTTTTAATGACATATTTTGACTTCAGAAAGTATCTTAGGGACCTTCTACTATGAATAATGAGGAATTAAGCACCTCTCCTCTCCAAGTTCCCAATTAGCTCACATTATATCATTTAGATGATGTCAAGATTTCTGCAGTTTACATTCTGTTCTGAACTGCTAATAGATTAGTTTTAATTCTACAATTAAATGAATTCACCATTCATCTTCCATCATTTTTTACCAGGGTCAAAACATTCCTGTGTTCTCTATTTTAAATCATCTTTGTGTCTCCTCTTGGCTCTACGGGGTTTTCAAGAGGGGCTCATCAGCATCATGTTCCCTGACTGCCTTTCTGGTACCTTTCTACATAAAGAGCAACCTGGATGAAGAGAAACTTCTGAGTCATGCTTTCTTTCCCTTAGATCCTGCTCCATTGTCTTGCATTGACAAATGCAGAACAAATGAGGACCAGCAGGAAATTTTTGTGGTTGATGTGTTTGCCCTTCCTGCTCAGAGGCCTGTGGATAAATTCTTTATCCACAAAGTCCAGCACCTTATGCAGGCTGTCTCAGGAGGTTGTATTTTTTGGCACATGATGTGCCTTTATGACCTGCCGACAAAAAGTCATTGCTAAAGGAAGACAGTTCCCCTTACATTATCTTTGAATATTTTTCTGTTACATTTGTATTGCTGTTCTCACCAAATACCAGTTATGCTAATGTTTGATTTCCTTTGTCTACTTTCCATATCGATACATCACTGTCTGTAACAACCAATACTGCACCTTTGCTCTTTTCCATATCTTCTCATGACGTACTCCATCCTGTTTTTGATTGATTTATTTTTTGCTATTGTTGCTTATAACTTGTATGTTTGCTAGTTTTAATTTTAGTCTTTTATTTTTTCCTGACTGTTCTAGTTGTCTATCTTGTGCCATCTTAAAATCTTAAACAAACAAACAAACAAAGCTCTCAAACCTCACCTCTAAGACACTTTCCTGTTAGATATGATGACCATCGCTTCTTTGGAAGCGATCCCATCTCTTGGAACTTTTCTCTGGGAAAGACCTTTTGTTTTGTGTCTATA